TTATGATTCATATAATATAGAGTAAAGGTGATATTATCTACAATAGAAAACGAAGAAAAACTCATAGTTCTAAAGAATTTATTTTAAATTCTAATTATTCTAACACACTACAACGAATATTCTAAATATAAAAATGTACGAATTCATATAAATCCATTTTTTTTTGTTATTGGAACTAAAGCTAAAACAATGATTAAAAATCGTTTTTAATTAATTTAATTTAATATTGGATGTGTTGGCCGTTGTTCACTGAGAAGTGAATTTAATGAATATTGATGTTTTGTTGTAATAACAAATTGTAATTTATTGTTTTCGAACGTTGTATTTTCAAGTTGAATATTTTGCGATAGAATTTCACGTAATTTTTTATTGAATATACCTTTAGGACTCATATTATCATAGAGATAAGATAAATGAAAACGTCGATTTCTTTTCAATAAATCTTGTTTTTTCTGTAAGAATTGTCGTTGTTCACTCATAAAATTAAATAGACGATGACGAAATTTTTCATATGAATGTTGATCAAGAGACCATTGTTGAAGTAATGTTGCATTGAAAAATATAAAAAAATGTTCAATATGCTTTTGAACAAATTCAACTGAATAACCATTTGCTAAACATGTCATTTCAAGATAGATTCGTTCTTGATTAAAATCTTCAATTGTTGTACAATAACGAACAGCACGTATAAGACTTGATCGTAACCAATGACTATGTTTTGTTATTGAATTTCCATTTGATATATACGGTAATGTATACGGTTGTTGATTTTCTTGATGATGAACACGACTATAAAGTAAAATATGACGATTTTCTAAATAAAGATCAAGATAATTTAGATTTTTTCCAATATGAATATCAAAACTTAAGTGATGATATTCCGATTTCATTGATTTAAGTATTTGTTCAAGTTCATCCAATGATTGATTCCATGTAAAGAAAATTTGATTTTGATATCGACCATAGAATTCATTTTGTTTCGTGGATGATTGATCAATGAGAAAATTATCCATTCGATTAAGATAAATATTTGATAATGTTTCAATCAGACCTGAATTTGATGGACCACCTTTAATAAATCGATAAATTTTACCATCATAATAAAATCGATTATTATGTAAAAATAAACTTGTTAATCGAACAATTTTTGTAATATGAATATTTTCCACTATAGGTAAATGATAATATTTCACGAAAAAATCTAATAATGTACTTAATAGAACATGATGTGGAACTAAATGATAAAAATTGTTAATTGTAATTGTAACAAAATTCGTTGTTGAACGAAGACGATCATATTGATCGATATAATTATGAAATTTTTCTAAGAAATCAGTACCATTATGAAATATTCTTCCTTGTTGATATATATCAATGACTGGTTGTAATAATTGATTGAGAAATTTTCCTAAACGATACGTAGCATTATATTGTGGTGTCATCATCATTGGTTTTACATTTAATAATGGTTGTTTTGATAAATCTGGTAGAAAATATAAATAAGGTAATTCTACTTTATCAATTACGACATTAATTTTCTTAAGTTCATCTTTATATTTTGTTGTATTGACAAATATATTTTCAAATTCACAATTCATCAATTTTATTTTGTTTGTTAAATAATCACGTGTTGCTTGAACATTTTCCTTGTCAATAGTCATATCGATTTCAAATAGATCTGTTTGTAACATAAATTCTTGCGATAATTGCTCAAATGAATTTCTATCACCAAGATAGAAAACATTTTGTTGATCGTGAGTACGTCGTAAAATTAAATTAAATCTTTTTAAATCATTTTGTATTTGTTCAATAAGTTGTTGTTCATAATGGGCACGTTCATACATCGATTTGGATGGTATGATTGTAGAAAACATTTCCATATAGAGATCTTTTATTTTCTTTTGTAGAAACATGGATTGAACCATATTGACATTCGATTTAACGAATAGTAGATTTAAATCATGTTGTAATTGTTTATAATTTTTTTCTAGATTTTGTTTTTTTGTCATTTGATAAGGTGGTATATAACTTGGTCCGCGTGATAATAATCGTAGATGTTCTTTATTGAATACATGCATGGATGCATGTACAATAACTGTTGGTGAAAAACTAACTTTAGCTAAATTAAATTCATCTGATTGTTGACCAAAATGTTGTCGTAAATAATAGTTTAAACGAAATTGTTCGGTACAATCAAGTTTTCTTTTACATAATTCATAACGACGATAAAGACTATCGATCAATGATGATGTTAAAATTGATTGAGATAGTTGTTCTTGTTTTTGAAATAAGAGTCTGCATTGTGAAATTTTCTTTTCAGCCTCTTGGATCGATTTCATCATGAAATTATTCAAACAGTCTTGTAATTTTTTCTCATCCTGATCGATTTCTTGATGATAAAAATTTGGATTCACAACTGTTGTTGATATTGTTCTTGATAACATAGATAGAGCTTGTGTCACACTTTGTTGAGTTGGATAATTACATTGAATACGATGTTTTAATTCGATGAGTTCTTTTTCTGCTGTTTGATATTCATAATAGAATTTGTATAGATTCTTGCTAAACTCAATCTAAAAAATAAAATAAAAAACCAGAGAATTTATATTCAAGATAAAAAATTCTACTTGTTGATCTGTTGGTTGAAGTTGAAGAAATTGACGTTCTAATAATTGATCTTGATATTCATAGTTGAATCGAGCAAGTTGATAATCTGATTTCATTGTATACGGTACTAAACGATAATTTTGAATAAATTCATCAAGGTGATGTTCGATATTATCTGTCAATTGAGACAAATTTTTCTTATCACTATCCAATTGTTGTTGTAAATGTTCGAATTGTTGATCTAATTCATCAAGATATTGTTGAATATAAATTGCATATTGTTTTTCATCACTAGTTTTTATTGAAAGTTTTTCTTTGACTTCTATTGACCATAGTTGTTCTTCAACACCGACTTCATAATATCGTGTCCAACGTTGTAAATTCAATTGAATTACTTTCATCTGATGTTTATATTCGATAATAGCTTGTAAATCACTCCATGGTATCATTGAATTGACCATAGTATGATGAAACATTTCATCCATGGTTTCTAAATAGGATGTTATTTGATTCGATGGTTGTTTAATATCGACCACTTTCGATAAACAAATTCGTTTTTTTCTATTTCC